GCTTGCGGCTGCCAGCCGTGGGGGAGTCAACGTCTAGCCGCAGGTCGGCCGGAGCTCCTGGGGCACTGAGGTCTTAAGACTTGCTTACGGTTACACTATGATGATGACTACGTGCCTCGCTCGCAGATCAAATCGCATTTGCTGAGACTGAGAAGCGAAAATACACGTTATTTTATGCGCGTACCTTGGTCTAAGACCACCGAGGCTATTTGACCAAGGCAATGGATGCTTGAGAGAGTTGAATGATGGGACGCAGCAAGAGCAAAGATAATCGGAGAGTAAGCAGAATCAGCCGTCTCTTTTCAACTGGGACTGGCAACGGAGTTTGGGCGATCAACCTAGGGAAGGAAATCAAGCAGGCAAGATTTTTCGATTGTTATCTCTGGCGAAAGCTCCCCAAGAAAAAAGGGGAGGGCTGGAAAATCGAACGGGACTATATTTGGGACATTCTTTGATAGAAGCGATTGCGTATGGGATTTCGTATCGGCTTTTTTTTGTTCCTTTCTTTTTGTAATTTTCCTTTTAGCGCGTCGACCGCTCGCGATTAGAGAGCAACGAGCAATACAAGTATCTTCAAAGAAACATTTTCCCTCAACCGCGTGCCTAGATTGACTTCCCAACGCCTTGCTTAGTGTCTAAAAAGGGAAATCCGAATTAACTCCATGTGCCTATTCCCCTTAAAATCATAGACCTCTATGCCGCTCCCCGATCCAGATCAGGAATCTTCCAATGCTAGAAAAAACATAACAACGTTACAGTCGTGTTTCATGGATCCCTAGCTCCATGATGGTGCAGTTGCCCTCCCCGCAAGCCGCCTCGGCTTGCTCTTCAGCTTCTGCTTCAGCTTCTTCTCCTTGTTCTTGTTCTTGTTGTTGTTCAACTTGGTGGTGGTGTTGAGCTCAGTCGGGCTGAACGTGAGGCTGCTCTACTTCTCAGGTTCCAGGTGCGACCACTCGGGGACAGCTTTAATCTGCTGCCACATGTACTTCTCCAGCTTGTTGGCCGACTTGGCGTACGGCGTGCTCTCGTTGTTGTATTTCCGGCAGTTCTCGAAGATGAGCCTCGCGTCCCTGATGAAGTCCTCGGGGGTCGAGTACTGGTCAGCCTCGAGCTTGTTCTCCATGGTGCTGAGGTCCATGGGCTCCTTGATGACGTCGTAGTAGTCCGCCACCTCGTCGCGGTTGACGGGCACGAGGAACGGCCACGCGGCGTTGTGGTTCTGCAGGTCGTTGAGGAGGTGGAGGAGCTGGTTGTAGTTGGGGCCGTGGCGGGGCTGGCGGGCCAGCTCGTCCATGTCTGGCGACCACCCGGACGCGCGGATGGCGGGTATGTCGAGGGGGTTGATCTCGGTGATGCCGTTCCTCCACTCCTTGGGCGGAGCGTGGACCAGGTGAGACTTGGAGTATGCGCGGATCTTAGCCTGGACGCACTCCTTTTGCTTGAGGAGCATCCGGCCCATCTCGAGGTACCGGATGCGAGGCAGCATGGAGCACTGCATGATTGTTCCGCCCTCGTAGTCTTTGATGTAGCCCATCCACACGCTGCGGTCGAGTGTGATCTCCTTGGTGAACCCTTGCTTCTTGAAGTATCCGATGGCGTAATTGTCGGCGTATGTGAGGAAGTGCATGACGTCGCTCGTGGCCTTGACGTAGTCCTTCAGATGGGACATGAGATGGGCGCCGTAGCCCTTTACCTGCTGGTCGGAGCTGATGGCGCAGAATACGATCTCGGCAAAACGGCGTCCCTTGAACGGTCTGTACGTAATCCCGCCAACTACTTCCAAGGGTTTCTTAACGATGGCGATAGAGAGATGGGTTCGGTCATAGACTAGGCGGGCGATGTAGTCCTTGGGCATCTTGGGCAGCTGCTTCTGGAATATGCACTTCAGGCCGGTAAGGATGATGAGAGACTCGCGGTCGCCGTCGTTGTTCACTACGCGGAATTCTATTTCGCCATTTCGTTCTTCGATGACGGCCGGCTGGGCGAGGACGTTAGCACTGGGTGGCGATAAGCAGGCGGTGGGTGGAGGGTGAGCCGACAAACCTTCTCTGGGAATGGGATTGGCTTCATGGCCTTTCTATCGACCTCCTCAGTGGCATCCTGGTCCTGCTTGATGCGCTTCGATGCCGAGGGGGACGAAGGCTCCTCCTCAGCCTTGCGTTTTGCGCCTGGCACGGTGTCAGCGCGGTGCTTTGCGTAGCGGGTGTGTAGGGAATCGGAATGCTTACCATCGTCCTTTACAGTCATGGTGTATGGGTTGCTCTGGGGACGCACTGCTCGAGATGCGGCGGCTGTGGCTCGTCATGCGTGTGCGGATGCTGTCGCATAGCAAATGGAGAAGCATCTCGAGCTCCCGCTTCACTTTCCTCAGTCGCGACGTCAGATGTCGAGGCGTGGACCCGTAAACCAATGAGATCGAAAATCCCGCCCACTGTGCCCCACACTCTACCGCAGGCGGTTAGAGCTCAGAGCCGCGTATCAGCTCTAAGCCTATTTGGGTTATCGGCCAGATGTCGATAATGGTAAACAGCTGCTGGCCCTTTGCTGATGAACGAAACCTCCAACTTCACCAGAAGCTCATTATCCGCAGCCTCCCATTGCCACGACTACCCATTGAAAGCGCCATCTCCCTCCAATCGAATTCGATAAACTATTCGGTCTCACGTTAGTCACATATGGATTCTTCGCTGCATGAGGTCTGGCAAGCTGCTGCTGGCAGTCCCTTTCTTCCCACCATTGGCAAGGAGAGCCAGTTCACCGTCGGGTTCTTGCTGCTCCTCATTGGAGTCGCATTGACAGGTTACTTTGCGCTGAGTAGGTTTCTGACAAGGATAGCCCCTTCCCTTTCCTTCAACATTGAAGCTAAATAGCTCCCCTTAGACCGTTCACTACTTAACGTCCCGCTCCTGGGTGTCCCTGCCTCAGCAGCTATTGCGTTCGTCTTATCCTATTTCCGCCTCAGAAACAATATTAAAACTATACTTACAAACTAAATAGGGTTGGAACGGTGTATATGTTCTGCGCAGTCGGAGTTTACGTTTGAGATACCCTTTTCGAGAAGAAGCGCCCGAGAAGAAGCTCGGTTCGGCCACTGTACAATAGTTGAAGACCAGAAGAAAGCCATTGAACGAACGCCTATACTTTCCATTTCACCATTTCCTTATTTCATTTCTCATTTCAGAACCGGCATAACACTTTGCGCACCTCAGGGTTCCTTAGAAAATGGCGACTGAAAATCCACCCATCTTCCGGGCCGTTGCAACGTCCACGCGGCCTTTGTACCAACTCCTCCGCTGCATCGACTTTGCCCCAAGAGTGCACGTTCAAATCACCGAGCAGGGTATACGTTTTACGGCAGACCTCTCACGTGTGATGCAGGGTGTGTATTTCCTTGTTTGCCCCCCTGCTATCAACGTGACAATTTCTCACAAACTCGATAGGTGTTTCATTTCTTGGTTCCGATCTCTTTTATTCTTATACTGTTAATCTGCCGAGGGAGGAGGGTGAAGAGGCTCCTGTGCCTGTGAGCTTTCAAATCCCACTTGGCTCTCTCCTGGAAGTTCTCCAGATTTTCGGCGCTATGGACGTGGCGACACGAGCACAGAAGGCAGATCAGGACTCTTACCGAAGTAATTTCCGCAATTATCGCCCTGATGCTTTCAGTAACCATGCTCTCGGCCTGGCTGGGACATGTACTTTTCTCTACACGGAGGAGGGTGATTCGTTCAAGATTACCATTGAGGAATCGGGCGTCAAGACCACAGCCGCACTTACGACTTACGTCCCTGAGATTCCTGATGAGATCCCCTTTGACCGCGACGACATGAGCTTCAAGATTATCATGCAGGCACGCTCCCTCCTTGATTCCTTGTCGGAGATCACGCCGACCAGCCCCAGCAGATTGACCATCACGGCGTCTAGGGGATCACCATATCTGTCACTGGCGGGTGTTGGGGATCTCGGCAGCTCGGCCGTCGACTTTGCGCGTGGGAGGGACCTGATGGAGACCTTCAGCATTCAGGAACGGTTTTCGCAGAGTTACAAGTTCGATTTCATTAAACACTCTACGGAAGGGATGCGTATCGCAAGCAAGGTCAGCCTTCGGGGAGATCGACAGGGCGTTCTCAATCTGCAGCTCATGGTAATAACGGAGGGGGATAAGCACAGTTTCTTGGACTTTCGGTTCGTGCCATTCATCCAGAATGACGGAGATGAGGAAGGCGGAGGGGAAGATGAGGAATTGTAAGGCAAAGTTGGTTGCTCTCGAACTGTTTCTGTGAAAACTGTTTCTGTGAAGGGTTGCCGGCTGGAATGGATTTACCGTGTAAAGTGGCTGAAGTAGTAGACATCTCTCCATATATCTTCTTTCGCGATTTTACACTCCCGATTGGTGTGACAGGTTTGCCCCCAGCCGCCGGCGCATTTCCATACCACTCCCAGCCTGGTGATGCCATTGGGACGCTGGGTCTGCGTCGGTTTCCACGGAAAGTTAGAACCTGTCTTAGACTTTCTTACTGCTTATTGGCGTTTCCGCGTCGTCCTAAGACCTTACCCTACATCAAGACTAGCTTTCATATAAGTCTCGGCAATTTTTGTCTGAGACCTTTGCGAGGGGGTCAGCAATCGGGAGGTTGATGTTACCCTATGGGTGGAATGATCAGCCACCATGATTCGAAGCACATTGCATCGCGAGGAGGTAGCATCATTCTAGAGACGCGACTTGAGGAGGCTAGACATCCTGTGTCTCTGATGTCGTTTCCTTTCTTTTAAGTTATAAGAGGCGCGCTGGTTCACGATATGATGTCGAGATGTATAACTACCCCAGGCTTGCTCATCGATTACGACATTGAACGACTTGATCGTCGCCCATCACCAATTTACCTTCCTCGCCTATCGTGTATCTATCGTATATCAATTGAACACCCATTCTACGTTTGAGTGTTACATCTACGCATCAAGGTAGCAACCACTAAGCCTTACGAGCAAGAACTCAGCCCAGCATGCACTCGCTCTCCGGATTCCTGCATCGGAAAGATCAGCCCAGGCTTACGACCAGGTCCCGAAGCGGGCACTGGATGACCACCACCACCACCACTACGTCAGCGAGGCCGCACGCCTGGCTCCGGACCGTCACTGACTGGTTCGCGGGCTGCTGGGGCACCGCCTGTGGCAGCTGCAGGCACAGCAGAGGCAGGAACCAGGCCGCCGCCGTGGCTGCTGCTGCGGGGGTGGGAGGAGCGCGCCGCCACGAGGACGAGGAGCACGAGCCTCTGCTCGAGTGTCAGAGGATCGAGGGGGAGGAGTGGTGCCCCTCCAGGCACAACAAGCGGTCCTCTGGCGCCTCGTGGTGCGACTCGGAGATGGAGGGCTACGTGCCCAGCCGGGCCGCCTTGTCGTACCTGCGGACGACGTCAGGCAGAGGGCTGAGATGTTAAATCACCAACAACGGGGGCCATACAGGCCCTTAAACCAACGGAGCGTACGGACCAACAGTACGGACTAACAGTACGGACCAACAGTACTCCGTACGGACAACAGTACTAGACGACCCGAAGGAGAGGATAGCACAGCAAGGCTGAGTGGTTCTAAAAAAAACCACCACACCGGTTATCCCAATCTACGATTTAACCTATGGGGAACGAGGAAAACGTGGTGATGTTTATTCTTCTTTTCCCCTCTTTGTTGCTATTTCCAACGTCCGTCTGCACCGGGGAATTGGATGAGTAGATGCCAAGATGGAAAACGTGGTCCATGATCGAAGCCGGGATAGTTTGGCATGTTGTTTCTTCTTTATTTTTGGCATGAAGCCCACGAACCAACAACTTAGCGGTTTGCATTTACCGGATGCGGGCAGGGCCCTGGGTGGAATCGTGCTTGGGAGACGATGAGTGGGCAGGGGTCAACGTGGACGGCATTTCCCATTGATTGGCGTCTTACTAACAGCTGTTGTGCATCTCCTTGGGGCCATGGATTGGCCCAGGGCAGGGGGGCTGGGGGTGTGGAAAATCCCTGAGTCTGGGGACCGTATTACGGGGTGTGCTCGAGCTGGACAGTAATACGCACCAACGCACCAGCGCACCAATGACGAGGGCATGGAGACCGACTTATCGTCATGTGATAAGCACAAAGAAGCGGATTTACGTCAAGCCCGGTATGTGAAGCCCAGCAGCAGAGCTAGAGAGCTTGACAGCGCGATATCCTGAGTCGGTGAAGATGAAGCTATCCGCATCGGGGGTAGTTGACAGCGGCCAGTGGACCGCTCGAAAACTTGGGGGAAAGGGACAGGATAAGGCAGCTCGATGGAATTGACTTGCGACGGCGCTGAACCGGACCGGCAATGGTGGCCTCCGCACCCGAAGCAGCTGGGCCTGGTGGGTGGTGGTTCCAACGTTGCAGCTGTCGCGGGCCAGATAAGGTGAGGTCTGCGGAAGCGAACAGGTGAAGAAGAAGGCAAATGAATGTGATGGGAAAGAGATCAGACGATGGTGGTTTCTCGGGAGTTTCCCCAAACATGTAATATAGCATTCTGATACAGTTGCATTGGCGGCGTGTAGCAGATCAACGGCACATCGCCCGGGGCCCTGTTTCCAGTGGCCGGTGGTGGTGTGCTTGTGTTGCAGAAGCCATCTCAATTGCCTACATAGTATAGCTGGTCCCCAAATCCCACTCTATTGCCACAACTGGTGGGTTGCACCACAGCAATCACGCCCCATTCTGTACCTGGGGATGCTCTCCTGCTGCACTCTAACTTGTGGATGTGTATCAGGTTGATAGTTCGATGGCTGCCCTCTGGTCGCGCAGGCCGAGGGCGCGGAGATTAGATGGTGCCGTATGATTGACAAGACACATGGTCTGGCCCGTGTTTGCCCCAAGGCTACCTTCTCCTCACGGCAGCTCTGGCGAAAAGGCACAGCAGCATCCACAGGACCGTCAATCGCCTGCCTCTCTGCTAGCTGCCGGATTAGGATTTGAGGTATCCAGAATCGATCGATTCCTTCTCGGCGCTAGCTCTGGCCCAGCCATCCTTCCACCCGTAACGCCAATGACTGGACGCAACGTGATAACGAGCAGAGGGGGCCGTCTCCAGGCTTGGCTGAGGCTACCCACGAACACCTGCTAGCCTTGGGGCGAGAGGCAAAGGGCAATGGAGCCACGGATGAGCCGCTTGCCTGTGCCTCATGGTCGCGCCGATTAACATGTTGTGAATTAGGCAGTAGGCATCTCGGTCGATAGGTCTCTATCCATGGCTCGGAGCGCTAGGCAATGCAGGCAATAGAGCGAGCCTTCGTCCATCTGTGGACCCCTCATGCGATTTCCAGCATATCATCTCCCTCGCCTTGTTCTCGGCCGGGCTCGCCCTGCCTGTGGCCGAGGACACGCTGATCTCGGGGTGGCCTCGGCTGGCCAATCACACATGCCACGGTGGTATGAAATGTAGGTGTGCTTGCTTCCTGGAGGTAGGGAGTCGTAGTTGCATTGCGTGATGCTGTTTCGTTTTCCGCGCTATACTACTCTCTGGGTAACCCTGGGATTGTGTCTTGTTTGTTGGCTGGAACACCACATGGACCAACGCGTTTCTCCCTCTGTGCCCATTCTTTCACCCTTTCGAATTCTTAGCAGCGGTGCTATAGACGAACATTTTTTTTTCTACTTCACGATAGTAATTGGCCCCCACCGGCTGGTCACGTAGACAGACCCGCGAGCGGATACAAGATCCTCTGTGGAACGAGGATGAGGAGACGGCTGTCACTGTGAAGGGCAATGCGAATAATGGCAGGGGTCGGCCCCATCACCAGTTCGCACACCTTCACGTTCGCATGCCTGTTTGCCGTAATGATTGTCGGGTATTGATTGGTGGGCTAAATACATGCGATCTGTAGCTCGGGCATGAGTGCAATAGGCAATTCAACTCTTGCAGCAAATCCCAAAATCGAGTGGCGCAGAAGGTCACCACCAGACACCAATAGAGACGCCTGCTGCGTCCCTACATCCGAGATGCATTTGCAAGATGTTGTACTATTGGACGCCGGCATATGCAGTATTGGGACTTTCGGGACGGGTAGCTGGCGAGATGCTGGGCAAGAGGGCAAAAGTCACACGAGTGAAATGTGTTTATGTTGGGGGCGGTGCGGTTTGGTGCCGCCCTCAGGTCAAGACAGTAGACGCCCAGAGGCGATGCAACCACCAACGGACGAGAATACCCGCCCTGCATGCGCTGGATTGACGCGCTGTACTCCCATCGCGCCAGCTGAGCTCCCAACCAACTCGCTTGGATGCGCAGCTGTTGGATAGTGGGATGATCCAGGTGGTACTGGGCGCCAACTGGAGGAACTTCTGGCTCAGCCGTCACGCACACATGCGCTGTTGGCGATCCAGCGCTGGCTCGGTAGCAGTTGGATGCGATGAGGACTCGTCTGCTCCCTTCGGTAAGGCACTAGCTGATTAGCCTTCCTCAGTAGCGCAGGGCCGTAGCTGAGGCAAGGCAAGCAAACGGCAAGCCCCACCCAACGGTACCGCCGGCAGCGAGGTAAGGCAACTGGAGCAAGTAATAGCCTAGCCGATTGCTTGGTGCGTTAGCTCCTGCCAGGCCCTTTGTCACTGGATGAGAGTATAGGCATGGAATCTTACGGCATGACCCCACGGTAATTACCCCGTTGCTGGTGGCTTGCATTTATCCATTTCCGTGCCTGAAGCCCAACGGTGAAAAAGCAAACGAGGGCAGGAAATAAGGGCTGACTTGCGCTGCCAAGTCATTTCGTGACGCAGTTCACGATAATCTGGAGTATACGATTTTTTTAATACCGGATTCGGGAATTTCGTCTATCTAATTTGGCAAACCCCGGCGCACGCTCCAGGTCCGGGATTGAACCTGTGGTTGCTGACTGTGTAGGTAATATTAACATTCCGCTCTCACCGGCAAAGCGAACTGGGAGTGAATCGGAAGTGAGTAAGCAAATCAAAGGAGAAAAAAAAAAGCAAATGCATGAACGCTTGATGGCCTCAGCACCTTAGTGGTCCCGGGGGGTCGGGAACTGCGAGTCGGCCACTGATGATGGACGTGTCTACCCACCACTTTGGCCACCGAGAGCGGCGTGGAGAGAGAGTGTTCACATGTGTGTCTCTCCTGGAGATAGATGCAGGTGCCAAGAGGCACACACCTTACGAATACGCACTAACTTACGATGCTGTACAGCGCAGAGCTGGAGGCTGCTCTGCAGTCGAAAGCAAGAAAATGCATCGACTTCCCCAATGAGGAAGGGGCCTGTTCATGACAAACCGAATATGGGCCACAGCCAACCAGAGGAGGCTAGGTAACGTCAGCCCGATGCCCGAAGGATTCGAGGTGGTGTCTGGTGCAGCAGCCGAGTACGTCAACTGGTCGGGGTGGGACGGCTTTTGAGAGGGGGCCCCTGCACTTTTCATTCCTTCACTTACGCATTGGGGGCTTTTCCCTGGCAAAGTGCCGGCCCTGACAATTTACCAGCTCGCACATCGAGCGTCGGCCTCGAGTGCGAGGGAGGGGGAATCCTAAGGGAGCTCCAGGCAGTGACGTTTTGTCCCTGAGAGATTTCCCACCGCCCGTGATGCGAAATTAATACACCTGTACGGCGACGTCAACACCTCTATCGCATACCCACCACCCTCTGGCGCAGCGCGCAAATCACTTCCCATTGCCAGACCGTCGTCACAGCAGATACGAGGGGCCATCGCCCGTCGAGGCTTTGCTTGCCTTGCTCATGCAGTGTGCTATGCCCATTGACTTTATTTTAGGACCATTTCCCGTCCGGGCTGCAATTCACGACCTGCCCATGCGCAAAGCAGCTAGCTGGGTTAAATAAAGACACTGGAAGCCAAGCCAGTGGGTTTCGAGCGCTGGGCTAGTAATAAGTTGTCTGCTATGCAGTCAATTTAGCCCACTAGAACAATGGCAGAGGGCACCATGTACCGCGCCCGCAGTTTCTGTATGGCGAGGTACACACCGCCGCCCGCTAAGGCACGGGGATCCGCCCCGCCTCGGTGGTTCGTAGACACACGCCCTACCCCCCTCCTTGTCCCTCGACTAAACCCATCCTTCCATCAACTCAGCTCACCTCACTCACCTCACCTGGCACCAAGACTCCGCTCACATCCTCGATCCCAAGGGCCCAGTGCACCAACCACCACCCCAGCTTCGTGCGTCGTGCATTTCTCCCACCCCATCGAGCATGTCCCGCTGCCGTCCGCATCGAACAGGGCCTTCGCCCTTGCGCCTCGCCACCCATCTTCGCAACCATGGCCCCCAGTTATCACCTTGATGCTCGCTCTCTGCCTTAGCTGGCCCTCCTCCGTCTCTGCAATGCCGCAGACCGCACTCCCCTCATCGCCCTTTCCCTAATACAGCGCTGCTTACTGACGGGTCCCCATCTGATCTGATACTATTCAAAGCTCTTCCCCTCCCCTACGGATTCTTGTCCCGGACCCAGACACCTATTTTCTGATCTCTCTTCTATCCATCTTACATATCATGTTCCGTTGGCCGATGGGCTTCGAGATTCCCGGGTCCAGCTGCCAACACGATACCGCCTACCAACAATTCATTGTCCCTACGCACTGACAAGGATCCATCACGCGATATCCCAGCGTTTCGGCCTTGTCTTTGTTTCCCTTTTCTTCCTTCGATCGCCTACATACCATGATCCATCCTCTTCCTTCCTTCTTTCCTTTCCCATAATAGAGTCAAGCAACTTACACTTGAAACACATCCCCTCACCGCAGAGCGGTAGCGCGACATCATGCCTTCCAACACGGGCGCTCCAGCTTTTAGCTTAAGAAAGCTGATGCAGACGCGCAAACACACCGAGGGCATTCCCGAGGAGGAAGCCGTTTCATTCTCAGAACATTCATCACTATCACAACTATCAAAGAAGAGCCTGGCCTCCCTCATGGCGACACGACGAGGATCAGCATCACCTAGCGTATCAGTCCGGAGTAGCGTGGACGCCGGCCGGAGTACATTACAACAACACTATCTAACAGCTCACCAACGACATCAGTCCGAGGGTGTAAGGCCTCGCCTCACCATCTCAGCACCCATCCCGAGAGCACCCTCTCCTCAAATCGCAACTCCCCGGCGATCAACTGGCCCGGGCTTGCCATCATCAGCAGTACTGGAACGACCTCGGAGTCCCCTCTTAGACATGTCTCACCTTGACCATTCCAAGCGATCAATGGATGCGCCCAGAGTGCAGGAGGAGGAGACTGAAGTGATCGAGGAGGAGGAGATGGAGGTCGAGGACCAGGAGGAAGAAGAGGAGGAGGAAGTGGAAGAGGCGGAAGTAATGGACTCCTTTCTTCGAAGTCCCTCACCAACCATCTCGAACTTCAAGTCGCCTCAAATAGAGCCTCTCAACCTAGACTCAAATCACTCATCACTATCATTAACGGTAGTACCGATGAACAGCACCCCCTACGCCAGAGAATGGTCGGAGGGTGTTCGACAGCTCATTCTGGAAACGGATCAAGCATTCGAATTCGGTGGATCATCTCTGGGCGGTTTCTCCACGAGCCTGGATCTCCCTCGATTCGAGGAGTCCGTGTTCCTCGACGGTCACTTGAATATCTCCAACCCCGAGCTCGTCTCTCCCAGGCTGGCGGTTCACCCTCCCCAGGATGAATCTGAATCCGAGGAAGAAGAGCAAGAGGAGGACGAAGAGGAGGAGGAGGAGGTAGTGGTAGAAGAGGAGCCACAACAGCCACCAGTCGAGGAGGAGCAACCCGAGGAACCAGAACAGGAGGCTCGACCCTCGCAAGACCTGACCACCCGGAGATCCTTGGAAAATGCTATCCCCGACTTGGCTGAGAAGAGAAAATCACGCTCTGTACCGCCCCCGATCGCTGTGCGAAAGGCCTCGTTGGATAAGGCTTTGCCCATCACTCCCACAAACGCTCTCACCCCTACTACCCAAAAGCACCTGCTCAACGTCTCGCATAATATGACACCTCCCCTACCTAAACCTTCCAAGATGAGCCCCCGACTCCCCAGAATTGGCCGTCATGAAAGCAACATGAAGAAGGGCCACACTCGCAACAAGAGCGGCTCCGGCGAAGGAAAGTCATGGGCCCGACCCGTCACTTCAAAGGTCGCACGCTGGGCGCTGCCTGATAACATGACGGATCTTTTCACCGGCAAAGGCTTCCGCAAAGTTGAAGTCGACGAGATGCTTACGCCTCAGCAGCTTGCCCTCTTGAAGAAGGAACGCGAGATGGTCCGAAGGAAGCAAATTGCAAAGAACAACAAGGAGTGCCACGAGGCCGTAAAGAGAGAAACACTGGCCAAGCTGGAGCTCGAGGCTGCCGCAGCCAAGGCTGCTGCTCTCCGTGAGCAAGATGCCAGGGAAGCTACCGCAATGGCAATTGCCAACGCCTCCATCGTCACTCCCGAGTTGTCACCTCAATCATTTGGATCGCCTTCAGGATCGGACCAGCCAGCTCAGTTTGCCGTCTCGCCTCTCCTCTCTAGTGATTACGTCCAGGACGATACCAACATTGCCCACGTGTTGGGCGACGAAACTGACAGAGGCCTCGCAACTGTCGACCTCCTGGCCGTCCCTGAGGGTGCCGAGGCAGAGTTCATCGCCCCCCTTAGAGCGCCTCCTACTCAGAAGCTCCCTGATCTTCCCAAGGGTGCTAAACTCAAGAGAAAGTTCAGCGACGAGTTTTTGCCGGAGGAGGATGAGGATCATATTTACCTCAAGAGCACTCCCTTCTCTCTTACCCTCCCCGCATTCCGCCATGGACGCATCGCCCTACCTAAAGCCGATAAGGCCGCCGTGACGATGGATGAGACTCTGGACTGGACTGCCTTCCAGATGGCCATTCTGGGCGCCGGCGACATGGACAGCGATATGTTCGAGGATGAGGACATCCGACTTACCGAGGAGATTGCCTCATGGTTTGACCTCTTCGGCTTCGAGCATGCTGGTATGCTCATCCCGGAGCTTATCCCTTCACCGCGATCTTCCCACAGCACAATCTCCTCGGTTGAATCCGAAGGAGACTTGTCAATCGCATCTTGCGACGAGCCACAGCCTCTGTTCGCCCACCCTGACGCCAGCCAGTTCGATAGCACCAAGTTCTTCCGAAGCACCGGTCTGCGCTCATGGACACTGGACGGTGCTCCCAAGATGAACCGCGCATCTACCCCCCCACCTATGGCGTTCATGCACGCCGATTCAAAGCAGGGCATTGCATCACCCCGATCTGTCGTATCCCCTCGCAGCCCAATGGAGCCCTTGGTTCTTGGCGGCGACGATGGCGATGTCCTCGATGATGACCTCCACCACGAGGAGCAAGCCCAGATGGGCTACAACCTACACAACGACCTGGGCGACTTCCTCCAGTGGGAGGCACAAGCCTTTGGCGTTGGCTACTACGGGGCTCATTAAACACAATGGTACCTCATATCCGCAACCACTCTCCGAAGTTGGTCTTGCAAACTATTACAACTATATATTCCCTATGTCCCTTTTTCTTTGTCCAACCCGGCCATACACGGAGTTTGATCATGGGAAATACGGCGTTGATTCAAACCATGCATATTTGGGTCACATAGCCAACTCGTTTATTCTGCTTCTTTTTTTCTGGTTTTTTTTCCACCTTATATTTTTTTCATCCTGCTCTTTAGCCGAACCGGTCCGGCGTCATAGCATAATGCGCACGGAGGTTCTTGATTTCGCTTCTTTTCCTTTTCTCTTCTCCCCCCTTTTTTTTATTATATGCTAGCATTCCAAATTGGTCTGGCTTTCTTTCTTTTGTCTATAATGATACCAAACTGTTTATGAGGGAACCCAAAGAGCGGCGTGTACACATCTACGTTAACAAGCCATGACAATGAGCATTTCCATTGATCCTCTGGCATTTGATTTATTTATTAGTCCAAAAATTGGATATAAAAATACAAAAATCGAATTTCAAACAAACTCAATTTTCATTGTTCTCTGTATATTTGTGATGCTTGATGTGACTCCCGCGTATATCCTCACATTGACTGACATTGATTTAACAAACAGACATAGGGCTGATCGCCGGGAAAGAGCTTAGGCTTCACTCGGGAGGTGTGTGCCTTGACCAACTTGCAACCTTCCGGATGCCATCCCAGATGTCAGCGCAGCATCGCGTCGATTCTCGTTAGCGATATGCCCTGGCGCCAGATCTACAGCAGTGAAACACGTGTGGGAGGCGGAGGCTGGATGCGCCTCTTGGGCTCGATGCTACCTTGACTACGTAGCATTGGTGGCTGTCTGGGACATCTAGGGCTGTATGCAGCCCAGCGCAATCGCGTGAGGATCGCTCACTGATGCTTCCCCTCACTGGTGAGACAACCCACGCCACCACGACAACATCCATGGCTTGCCGATACCACTAGCGACTGCGAAGTGGTGGTCTGCACCATGCAAACCAATCCTCTGCGCTATGCTATCCTATCCTGCAAGGGAGGGGGAAAACTGGCTGCCTGGCGAGGGTGAGGTTAGCCAGCACCAACAAATGCGAGACGGCCGCGTGGGGCTTTGCGGGAGGCTGTGAGAAGTTGCATGCATGCAAATGCAGTTCCTTTATTTTTAGGCCAGGCCCGAGCTGAGCCGCCTTGCAAGAGCCGAGGGGTCCCGTCCCCAACGTAAGCCGGGAATTTAATATATTGCCTACATACGTTTTTGTCCATGGATGGCATTGACTAATACTGCCCACTCGGAGAAGACCCTGTTGGGTCTAAATTAAGATGGAGGGTGATGTTTGTTGGTTGCTTGTAGCTAAACCAACGAGCGCTGGGTTCTTCCACTTTGGCGGGACAGACACAACAAGCGCCAACACCAACACGCATCTGCCCCCCACACCGTCTTCTTACACCAGGACACTTCCTCAACCCACAACCCTTTTGGCTATCCAAGAAGAGCAAACCGAGTAATAAGCCAGCCCCCCCAAGAAAACAAGTCAAGGCTAGGACATAGCGGGACGGAAAATCAAACCACTCGTCGATCCTCACCGCCAAGGAAAACCCCACCCTCCGCCAACAATCACCAAAGGAAGACACAAAACAAGACCCATTACAGAAGAGTCGCAAAGGGACAAACAGCAAGAAACCATGCTCCGCCGCCCGGCCACTTCCCTCACCATCACGTCCGAGGACGTCGCGGCCTACGAGGACCGCCGCAGCCGCGAGGCCATCGCCCTCGACCAGCAGCAACGGCAGCAGCAGCAGCAGGGGGGAGCAGATGGCACCACCGCCTCCGGCAGCCCCAGCGCCGAGGACGTGCTTCGGCGGGCACGCGAGGAGAGAATCGGCGTGGGGAGGAGGCGCGGCGCTTGATCGGGAAGGTTGCTTCGGTTTTTGCCTTTTTTTCTCTCTCTTGCGGTTTGTTTCGTTTATTCTCGTTTCGGGCTAGGGGGGTGTTTGTTCCCCTTGCCTTTCTTCAAACAGCACCGCCTGGATCAAAGCAATTCTACCTTCGCTTTTTGGCCTGAAAAGTTCGCCTCTTGTGATAGACCACACTTAGCCACACCCAAATCCTAGCCTTGTCCTTTTGTCCACCATTGTCCCAGAATCGTTTTGTTTCTCGACTGCAGCCCAGCTCCTCGGGTTGTTCCTGAGAAGGCTTCCTGGGGACCAGCGGTGCGGTGCTATTCTCGGAGGATCGGACCCGGCCCAGAATCCTCTTTGGCCCGGGTCCTTTTTTCCATGCACGTGTATGTAGGCATCTTTAACCAGCCTCCTGCCCATCTTTGGGGGGGAGGTGTGTGCTTTGAGGCGACTCTTCCCAGATTGGTGGTCTCGTATATCAAAACGCCCCTAGCTTGGGGCGATCCTCCCGCCTTTACATTCCTCTTCATGGCCCCCCCGCTGCCACATGTGATGTGGTCCCCTGGAATGCGTGCTATTGACCCAAAGTGGTGTTCGCTGGTTTGATCCTGAAGGGCCTCGAATCGACGCAAAACGCAGGGTTGAAATGAGACTGGGATTGCACACGAAGATCAGTATGTTGCGGCCATCCGAGGTGGCCGGATTTCTATTACACGCAAACTTAGTAATAATTACACAATATCTTGAAGAAACTATGGAACTGATATCGTGCCGCTTGTCTATATTCCTGAAGGAGAGAGAGAGAGAGGGCGCCCTGAAAAAGGCCCCAAATATACCGTAGACTCGATGCTTCCCAACGCTGTAAATGCAAAACCACCCGTCTTCTTTTTTTATGAATGGTGTCCCCCTGACCCCAGGACTCATCAACAGTACATTAGTGTAGAATACAAAGACCCGGCCTTGAGGAAGAGACCAAAGCACGGCCACTGACTGTGGGCGTGCGGACGCATTTCATCACTTTTCTCTGGCCAGGTAGACCCAGAAGAGGACCGTCATCCACGCGACTCTCCAGACGGTGGTCCAGATCTCCTTCCCAACAACGCCCAGTGTCTTGCTGCTCCCGACCTCTGTCTGCCGCGGGTCGTAGAACGCCTCGTCGAGATTGATCCGCGGACCGTTCGTCCACCGACGTTTGCCTTTCTGGGCAGGCTGCCATCGCCCGTTGGACGAGAGGGTGGAATTGCCCGCGCCATGCCACATGGACGTGGACGACGATCCCAGCGTAGGTGACCGTAGATCGGGGGGCTCGACCTTATCCTTGGTGGATATCGGGAGGGTGTTGCTGTACTTGAGTTCGGGAATGTCATTCTTCTCTAGCGCAAATGGGCTCAGACCCAGAATCGGCACGAGAACCGCCCGGAGGATGAGTACCACAAGGCTCAGTATGATGAAGGCGACGTACTTGATGTACGTGTGTATCTGATTCGGCAGCAGACACATGTGTGTTTGCAGCGTCTTCTCTGGCGCGCCGGGGATGCGGTTTCCATCCTCATCTACCGGGTTGTAGAGGCTGGCCATGAGGAACCCTGGTGTTGGCACGCCCATGGCCATGCTCATGCTCTTGACCGTGATCTCGGGCACATTGCCCTGCGATTCGGAATGGACCAGCTCACAGTAGTCGTGATCATCGCCGGAGAAGACCTGCACAACGTTGCCGACGTCCTTGACCAGCTTCACCGAATGGGATTCGTCCAAGACATTCTGGTACTGGTAACCACCGGACACTGAAATCGCATTTCGGTGATCGGGTATCGTCGGCCCAGTCTCGCCCTTGGCAGGCTTCGTGGGCGGCCAATGCTCGCGTTGCGGCCCGCAAGGTGTCCCGGGCTCGCGGTAGAGAGGAACATGAGTGAGAAGGATAGTAGGGAACTCGACAGCGTCGGCACCAGGGTCGGTCGGGGGAAACCCTTCAGGGTCGGTGCTGAGTTCCAGTTCCTCAACATCGTGCGGGTACTTGAGGCTCTCAGCACCGTCGTGCCAGGCACTCAGTTCCGCCTTTACAGCCCTTCGCTTAGAAGCCTGGACCCCCTTGAGGAACCTGTTGACCGGTCCGTATATCGGCGACAGATCTTTGGCGCCAGCAAACTCGGATGAGGCAGCGCTCAGCGAGAGTGTATCAACCGACACGAATGTATGATTTCCAATAACATCCACCCGGTTCAAATCTCCAAAGTGGGCACTGAAGCGATTCCGCACCGGTACCTGGACCTGGGCGCCGAACCCGAGATCGTGGTTCCCAGGCAAGCTGGCGATCAGCTTCCTCCCTCGCTGCCAAGCCCCCGGTGCGTCCCCGCCATCACCCCAATGGTCAAAGAAGATGTTCCCAAATCTCTTGTACTCCCGCAGCCAGTACTCCTCGCCGTACTTTCGGTGCCATGTATCCACCCACTTGGCCTCGTCGCGCGAGCGCTGCCTCCCCCACCGCGGGTCGACGAATTCGCCGCGGTGCGTCTTCCACTCCCGCCCGCCGTCGAAGAGGTCGCCGAGGAGCATCACCGTATCCGGGGTGAGGCGCCTCTGGAGAGACTTGTACCCGCGAAGGAGATAGTTGTCGGTGATGATCATGGTCAGCTCCGAGAGCACCCAGGGGCGCCCGGGATAGCTGTGAGGATCGATAATCTGGGGGTCGGCGATGAAGACGAGGTGATGCGGGTTTGCGCCTTTGGGCTGAAATAGATATGTTAGTCAAAAGAAGCCCTTCCATATGCAGATAGTCCACCGTGATGCGTGCGCAGACAAGGGGGCCATCACCACCTACCCAGTTCTCCCAATGATCCCAATCGCAGCTGGCAACCTTGCTGTCAAACACCCACCGCTCGCCCCAGAGCAGAATCAAGATCCAAAAGACAACAACCAGGTGCGGGAAGCTCCATAACCGCCTCGAGGTCAGGTTCCTGCGCAGCTGGTGGATCGCGGCGAGGGATAGCCATGTCGCCCTCTGCCGGCCGGGTCCTTTGGCCCACGCCCATAACCGCTGGCCCTTGGCGCTCAGGTAGTATGTGATCTGGTCGGCTACAGACGCATCATAGTGAGGCATTTCGCCGTGGCCATTCCCCGTCGGTCAGGCGCCCGGCTTCGTTTCTTTGGATGAGGGAGGCGGTGCTTGGTCGAACGGCGAGTAAGGGGAAGAGGGGGGTCGCGGCCAGCCGGAGGATATAATACAATCTCGCGCCTATAAACTGAAAATCAAGAGAAACGCGTGGGAAGATTAAAGAGAATTATCAAGTGAATGAACTCATCGAACGACGGGGGATTAGAGCAAAAAGGATACCTTGCAAACGACAGACGTGGTTGGAAATTGGAGGTGAATCGAGGCAATGGATGCTCCTGATTGGTGTATCGTGGGAATTACGTAGGTCCAATTCTCCCGCGGAACAAACCCAGTCGCCACTGCAAAAAAGGCTAAAACAATAAGGGTTAATTCCAGGCACTGCGCTGGGGAGGACCCACTGGGATTAGGGGCCTTTCTGGGGCGCATAATGTAGCCTCACCTATTGACATATGGAGGTTTATACATATCACAGACAGACGAGCCATTTGATTCAGAGATTGATAGATAGTAATGCCATTGTTTGTGTTCAAGCTTGGCTGATATCCAAGAAAATAGCTACATGTATTCATTGCATCATTACTTCAATTCCCAAAACCATTCGTTCAATCATACAAGTCATGCATTCCACGCAGCTTTCCAACATTCCACCCACGCTCTACAAAAAAACCTACACCCTCATGGAAAGAACAAAGACGCCACATACCCGTTACATTTTTCTTTCAATCAAGACCTAGGGTCCACTTGGCTCTCTTGGTCCTCAGAATCCTCTTCAGTATCGTCGTAGTAGTCATTCTGTTGACTCTCGCCCGGCTTCTTTTCCTTCTTTTTGAAACTCAAAAATCTCTTGAATGCATTGGGTTGCTCTTCTGGAATATCATCCTTTTCGGACGAGTACTCATAGAAGAGTTTTGGAACCAGTAATCGGTATGGCACAGTGATGCCGGTGGGATCCTTGGGATTGACTTCGACATTGAGACAGATATCCAGCCCGCCTTCGAGGTCGACTTCATACTGCTCTGCCTTCTTCATCTGCTTGGTCGAGAGGCCAGTTGGGGTCCGCATAAATGGCTTCATTGCTTGGGGCGGAATGGAGCCGTCGTCAAACTGGGCCGAGCCCATTGCCTGCGCCCTTTGAGGAGGCCTTGAGTGGAAATATGCATCATCGCCTTCTGAGTACTCATCTTCGTATGCTGCGCCTCCCCGAAGGCCTGATGGACGTTCTCGGCCATAGTATTGGGTCTCATAGTAATCGTCGTCGTCATCTTCCGGTGCAAAGTTGCCTCGCTGCGAAAAGTTGTCTCTTTGTGAGAAGTTATCCCTCTGGGAAAAGTTGTCTCTCTGGGAGAAGTTGTCTCTTTGGGAGAAATTGTCTCTTTGGGAGAAATTGTCCCTCTGCGAAAAGTTATCCCTCTGGGAGAAATTATCTCGCTGAGAGAAGTTGTCTCTTTGCGGAAGGGTATCCCTAGGCGCAAAGTTATCGCTGCTGGCGACAGCCATATTCTTTTGCTTCTGGCTACCGCGTCTCAGGAAGCTGAAAAGGCCTCGCTTTTGGGTCGCCTCACCCTGGCCTAAAGACATGCTTCTTGTCAATGGCGGGGGTTGAATCTCCTCTTTTGGTACTTTTGGTTCCTTGGGTCCCTTGGGCTCTGATCGTGACAGTCGGCGCGAGAGGCTGCGGAATAGCCCTCCAGAAACGGGGGGTTTGGGACCCCGGACAGATTCCTTGGACATATCAGGCCGGTGCGAAGGTCCGCTCAGAGAAAACCTTCTGAAAAGACCACCACTTCCACCTGCACTACCTGTACCGCCTCCACCACCTGCGCTGCTTTCAGGTGCTTGCTGTGGGCTTGGGAATTCATCAGGAATTGACGGGGGTTCAGGTGTCTGTGGTGGTGTA